CGGCTTTCGAAACCGGAAAAACAACGTTATAATTCGAATAGCACCGTCGATTTCGAACACAACCGACAAAGAACCGAACAAATCGCTTCAACAACAACGCAATTCGATAACGACGCGGCGCTCGAATCCTCGTGATTCTTATTTTCAAGATTCGCATGAACTGTCGCCAACGAAAATATATACGATATAACCGACGAGAATCGTAAACGTCGTCTGTTTCTGTGTATAATGGTTAACAATTAGGAGTCAAGCGATCGGAACTTGGCGCATGCTGCGTCCGTGCATTGACAAATCAACGATTTGAACTCTACGTGCAACGTAATCGTCGGAGAATGTGCGCAGATCGTTTCGCAACGGGTTATTTATTTTGTTCGTCAATGGATACAGTAAATTCACCCTAATTTTTCCTTCAGCTTGCATACAATAATTATTCGAGCCTTGCTCCTCGTTTTTATTATATAACCGTTGACAATCGACGATTATAAAAATTAGCCTCGAGGCTCGAATAATCGTATTTCTTCTCCCGAAATTGACCACTTTTGTTTACAAGCTGATGGAGAATTCGGGAAAATTTACTGCACACACACGTATACACGATCCTTTCGCGTTACATTGGCGAGCGCGATTCGCTATCGAAGAGAAACGGGGCGAAAATGTGTTTCGCACGAATAACCGAGAACGGAAACCGAATTCGAAGATTTGCCGTCCGTCGTTCGTCGAGGAGATTAGGCGTTTCGTTTTCCATTCATGGTTTGATAAGCTCCGGAGAAACGGCGCAACAAGAACATTTACAAAATAACCATACACTTGTGTATACGATACATAATGTATATATATATCATTTGTATATGTACAAAAACTTGTGTATACGAAATCTTTTTCCTAAAGATCATAAAAAATATCGTCGGAAAGAACAGCTGTTTGCGAGGACGAGAAGTTCGTTTCTCGGTAGCGATGATGATACCGCGGACACGCGCCCTCCGCCCTTTTCTCGCGCCGAGCGCAACGAGGGTCCGTAAAAACGCCCTGATTAAATATTTACTGAACAGCAAGAACAATGCGATAAACAATCTTTCGAACGTCGCGACTGGTTCCCGTCGTTTTAAGAAGCCCGACGCTGCTCGATCGTGGATAGACTGCGGATCCTGCGCAATTAAAATAGTCTCAGTCTAATTGACAAGAAAGTGAAATGTCTTTCGTTTTTTTCTCTTTTTTTTGAAACGTTTCAACAAGCCGTTTCCGCATCGAATTCACAGTCTAACGATCAACAATCTACTCCGCGACTCGGCGCCATTTTTCTTAACGCTTCGCCTACCGGAAGATCCATCGAAAATCGACTTTCAGGCTACTGAAATTGTTTTCGCTATTACATTATTCATCGAGAATATCCGTGCCTGTGAATTACGATTTCTAATGGAAAACAACCGCCGCTAGGCAATGCGTTAAGCAACAAATTCTTTTTTAAAAACAATCTTATCCAGAAACATTTGGTGCGTCGAACAGTTAACAATGATAATCTCTATTCCTTGGTAAGACCGTTGATCCTTAATTATTTTGGTCGTCGAACAACAAATCCTGAGAAACGAAGATTCATATGCCGGTGTTCAAAAATTAGGAGGATAGAATTTTTTCTTTTTTTTCTCTTTTCTTTTCTCTGCTTTTTTTGTACTGTTCAGCAACGATCTCGCGATAATTCATCGTCGTGACGCATGGCAGGTTGATGGTGCACGTCTTCTCTTTCGAACCGATTCGCGAGAATTCCCGGGACCGTTCCTGTGCTTTTTCGCGACGTGAACGTTGGCACTGGATTGCATCGGTCGCAAAATGGAGCTCGGAGAAAAGCGATTGTCGGAAAGGAGAGAGAAAGAGAGAGATAGAGAAAGAGAGAGAATCCGAATTGCCGAACAGAATGATTAAACGGCACGCGTTCAATTCCTGTGCTCGCGGAGATGTGCTCTGAAATTGTGCTTCGATACGATCTATGTATAGCGAGTCGTCTATACTTCGGCGATCCTAACGCGCTATCGATACAATTCTAAACGTGGTTTTTCTTTACCTATCGGGTCGTAAACTAGCGGAAGTTGTACCTCGAATGCATCTTCGACTGTACGATATACTGTGTTAAATAACAAAACAATACGAAAAAAATACTTTACGCGAACGTGTTTCGCATCGTTCGAACAGTTCGCATCGCTCGTTTTTAACGAGAACTCGGTGCACAACAATCTACAGACCGAGAATTTTACTAATAGACTGCGGATATTTATGCGAACTCTTGGTCGAATAATTATATATATACATTATATTATATATTATTATTGTACTGTATATTGTATTATAATATTATTATATATTATAATAATATATAATAATATTATAATATAACATATAGTACAATAATAATATATAATATAATATATATAATAATAATAATAATAATACATAATATAATATTATATATATATATATATATATATATATATATATATATATATATATATATATTATAATAATTCCGTCGGGTTCGAAAATGAATTGTAAATAATATTTCCGTCTCGGTGAGCAGCTCCCAAAAATTGGATAAACACAATTAATTGATCGAAGTTGTTACCTTCGTCGAAAAAATAAAACTGGCATATCACAACGAAAATCATTTAATCTTTTAACTGATAGAGACAGAAGAATTTCACAAGAGTAATTTTCATCGCAGTTTTCACACGATTATAAACGATAATGAGAATTCGTATAAACACCAGCAGTCCGAGGAACGATTCGTTACACAGAAAATGATGACTGATAGTTCTGTTAACAGAAAACGGATTCTAGAGTGTCTCAGGAAGTAGAATTGTTGGCGCCACTGCGAAGATCGAGCACAGTGGCGGGAGCTATTCGAGCGGACGGATAAGGGGTCGTTTAATTCCGAAAGCGAAGAGAGGGAGAGAGAAAGTTTCTTAAACAGGCTAGAGAAGAGAATCGTCTAATACCTAAAAATACTTTCGTGAATGGTACTCTAGACTGCGGTTAAGTAGTAACGGTAGTGTTTTAAATTCTTAAACGTTAAAGGTTTTGTTCAAAGATCGAAACTGGGTGCACGAATGGCGGTCGCTCGATTCGTTTCGAATCGTGTGCCACCGTTAGAGGGTCAATGGTGTGTTAGTGGGGTGTGGTAGCGAGGTATCGCGCTTCTCTTTCCAATAAATACTTAAACGGCGAAACGTTCTCTATCAGCGATTCAATCAAGCGTTAATAGTAACATTATAAAAAGCTCCGGGCAACTGTGGCCGGAACACGATATAGTTAAATAGAATATATTCGTAGATTTGAATGGCGGCGAGGAACAGCGCTTGAACAGACGTTGCCGCCATTCGAAAAAATTATTTAAAAAATATCCGTAGCCGGTTGATGTGCGCTTACGAAATCGATAAGTACAGAAGTGTCTTTCCCTGAAGCGATAAGTAACAACGCCGGTGAATCGGGACGAACGTGTAAGTACTCTGTACGTGTAAGTACGTGTAAGTACTCGGGTCGATTGCAAAAGATAACAATGTTCGTCGGGGGCTGGGAAAGGAAACGCTATATTTACAGGTGAATTGTCTGTGTCGTTTTACGGAGAACGGTATGATAAAATCACGTACACGCGAGCTACGCGGCAGTCGGGTCGGTTAAAAGAAAAATCCCGAGGTACGATCGTCGGTTAAAATGGTAAAACGCGTTGACTGTTCGTAAGAGATTCGTGAAAAAGAGACAGACAAGGTGTATTTGTGTGCGTGTATGAGAAAGAGAGAGAGAGAGAGAGAAAGAGAGAGAGAGTGTGTGTGAGGCGATTATCGTTAAATTACAATTAAAAGATATTAACTTATCACAAATACGACCGCATAAATGTATGTATATCTACAGGGTGGTCCATCAGAAATAGAATTTCTTATCGTCTCCACCTCGAGTCGTCATTTCCAAAGAGAAGTCACCCTTTGTCCATTCGATAGAACTGTGGAACAATTTTTCCCAGCTTCGAACACAGAATCAAAAACGAAATCAACATATTTACACGAAGAACGTCCGTTTAAATGATAATTATCCTGCGGATCTTTGCGCAAATTCCTTAACAAGTAGAATCGAGGGAAAGCCAAGAATATTCCTGGATTATATTCCTATAATATAATATAATATATATATATATATAATCTGTATGTATTATATTATATTATAGGAATATAATCCAGGAATATTCCTGGTTTTCCTCGATT